ACCAACAATACAAACAATAGTGATGTAAGATTTGATATTTTGAAGTAAAGAATAACTCTTCAAGAACAAAAAATGGTTATTTAATAAGAATTGTTTTTTAATAAGAAGTATAAATGGGAGGAACCCCAAAGAAAATTTGTAGAGAAGTAACTGTCATGGGCCTTTCCTTGTGCAATCCAAGAAAATAGCAAGGTCCCCAAACTTGCTTTTTCCTGACCAGAGGTCCTATCCCAATGCACTAGAATACTTTTCTAGATTCTTCAAGATTCCTGTAGTAAAGATAATAGAAGTGTGAAGGACTTTTGGATGGTTAAAGGCAAAGATAAAAAAAACTATTTCTTTAATTTTGAAAAAATTACTATAAAAGGAAATTTTTGAGAAAAATATTATGTATGGGAAAGATTTTTTTTTATTATATTTAATATCTTGATACCAGTTTAATATTAATTTAATATTTTTTGAAATCTTATATATAATTGATTTTTTATAAAAAATCGTATTTGATTAATTATAATATCAAATACTTTGTCAATTCTATTTAATATAATTAATTGATTAGAAAATTTTTACCAATTAAAATTATTATGTAACAAATCTACTATTATATTATGATTGTTAATTATATAATATTAATTAGAAATATTTGAATATAGTATAGTAAGTAAAGATATTAGATAATAAATTAAATTTCAACAAAAAAGTATTTTATATTTTATTTAAACAAAAAATCAAAAATTAATCTACCTTTTTAAATTAATTTATACTTACTGTATTAATTTGTTTAATTAATCATTAGCATTTTATTTTAATAAATATTTGTTTAATATTAATTCTTATTTATGATTATATGACAAAAAAAATCTAAATCTAAATCTAAATATTATTTATTAATAACATTAAATTTTATTTACGTAATAAATTTTTTCAATTAAATTAATATTAAAAAATATCCATTAAAATTTATATACAGTAATTAAAAATTCGATTATTTTTTTTATTATAAAATGAAAAATACACAAAATGTATCATTTTTAATTAATTAATTAGTATTATATCATTAATTTATAAGGTTTTATAATTATTAAATATATTTTAATAAAAATTCATTTAATGCCTTTTTGAAAAAAAAAAAAAAAAATTGATTTATTATTTTGTAAAACATTATTTATACTTCTTTTTTTTATTTTATAAAAATAAAATTCAGAAATAAATTTTGAAAATTATTTGAATGATTACACATAAAAGTTTTTGAACCAAATCATATTATTTGTAAGACTTCGTTGTTATTAAATTACTATTTTAAAATATTTTAATATACAGTAAGAACCAATTGATAACTAATTTAAATCAAGTAATATTTATTTTTCAAAAATTTTGATGTAAATTCAGTATGTGAAAAAGAATTTTTTTATTTGGTTTATACGCTGTAATGCCGTTGTTAGAGATACTGTATGTATTTTGAAAAGATGTTTCAATTTCAATGTGCACAAATGATTACTTGAATATATAACCAAATGTTATAAAAATACTAATATTACTGTATATGCCAATATCTTAATAAATCAAATAAATTATGCCAAGACATACTGTATAATAGCTCTATTAATCACAACGGGTGAAAACTTTCGATTGAATCAAGTTGAAATGTTCTAAAGGATTCTTAGCACCTATGATTAACAGGAATGCACAAATTTGGCGCCGTTATGCGTATTTTTTTTTCTAGTTGAAACAAAATAAGATAGATGAGCTTAATATGATGGTAATATTACAGTTTGCTATGACTTTCTATTGGATTGGTATTGTTCGTGAGATGGAATTATGCATCGGTCCTTTCGTGACAAAAGTCGGAAATGGTATGGTTCTACTTTTCTATGGACAAGTCACCGTGGCAGTCTCGTTCTCACTTCCCGCTAATTCTTCATAAAAATGAACATTCGGATAAATTACAAACTCTCATCTCTCTTCTGCATCTTTGTTATTGTTTGCGATTATCTAATTAACTCGGATATGGAATGATTCGTCCTTCAAAAAGAAAATTAATATAACCCGGTTTGCATACCAGTGTCCAAGTGTCATTCTCATTTCCTTCTTTAATCCTTCGTCTACTATGAGATCTGAAAAACAATGTTGGTTTCGCAACCACACTCCGTCCGGTGGTGATCATTGGTGTAATAAAACAAGAATAATAGCTATATTGTTGAGTACTGGCGTAATTACGTATGCCAAAATTATTTACATGACGCATGTAGTAACTGACATGAACCCGCGGAGGTGTATGGTGCATACCATATCCATGAATATTTTATATGCCAAATATATCAGAATTCCCGTTTTATTGTAGGTATATGCGACACACGCATCCCCAGAATATCAACACCGAAATTAAAAAAGTGCACCCACAAATCTTTTTGTTTATCCGTAAATATTTTAATCTCAATTTCCTAAAATTAAGAAACCTTAAACGCAAATTAAATTCCTACATTTGTACGACGCATGGTCAAATCTTAGCAACTTGAAAGGCCAACAAGACATCTCTTTTTGTAAATATTTTATATATACGGTAATTCAAGGTTTAATGTATGTGTCAAATAATTACGTTCTTAGGCGGTGCGGAACCTCCGATTCTCATAGGGGTTATTGATACGTCGACTCTAGGACTTTTTAAAAGAATCGAACTCATAATTCCACCGACAACATTCGCTTTCCTTATTGTCGTTTCATTACATTAGCTAGCAAAGTTAGTGAATCCGGTATTCATAAACTTTATGCGATTTGTTCGCGTGTTAAACTCGGCGTTATTCGGGACGCCAACATTAAGTATCTTCGCATTCGAGATTCCACGCGCACCTACAAATCCCTTTTGGATCTAGCTATTAACAAGATGCATTTCCCACTATTCCTCGTTGGGACCATTTTTACTCGGTTCCAACTCAGACGAAACCATTTGTTTTCTGTCTCTGGATAAAAACATTGATACATTATTTGGAATTTTTGTGCCATGGAGGTATCGACAAAACTTACAGTAGATTTACGCTCAATTTAGTACATAAAATTTTAGTAAATACAGTATCAAACAAAGTATAAAGCCAATTCAGAATGACAAGTAGAGGAAAGAGGCAACGTACTTCGTTTCAGTTAATACTGTAAAAACAATGTGAAAATTTAGCCATATTATCCAAATTCTTTTTTGTATGTTTGTGAAACCTACCAGCCTCTGTTTGTAACAATAGCGTATTCCATAATATGCGTAAATACATACAGTATACGTAATTTTTATGGAAAATTTCCGATCCCGATTGTTTTGCTAGTGGCTTGAAAAGTGTGTGTGTGTCCATTGTAGTCCATTATATTTTTTGTGACACCCTCACAACGCTTCGGTAATTGTTCTAGATGACCGCCAAATTTATCGCAACATACACAACAATGTGGCTCGGCATGTGGCATTGTGTTGGTATTTCTCCATTATGATTGACACATCCAATTTGGGTGTGATTACCGGTTTTTATATTGAAAATTGTGGCTCAGTCATTTGGCACATGAAAGGTGGTCATTGTCATGTATCGGACACGTTCTTTTTCCACATGCAATGACATTGGTCGATGGAAAAATGATAATGGGCAATAATTACAATATAACCATCCTTGATCTATTCACGTCCTTTATCATCCGTTCCGGGTAGTCTTCATTCTTTTCCTATGCTTTGTATACAAATTGTGACGCATTATTTCATTATCCAAATGAAAGATCTCCTGGTATCGGCGAAATGTGAATGGTTCTTTTCTGCCGCGTGTTTCTTGTGTGATCTCATCAATAATTCCAAGAAGGAATTGAATCATCAGATTTGAGAATCAATCGGAGTGCTTTCAGTAAATTGTTTCAAGGCGCATATATCTCTAGTTTGATAAATCGAGACCTTTTGTTTGAGGCAACGATGCAATCATTTCGTCACCATGCACGAATTAAAAAATCGATAATGGAACTTGGAATCTTTTTTAAATGTTCAATCTTCTTGTGGTATAATTTTGGAAAGGATCCTTTTCACTTTGTTTATGACCAAGTTACAGTAATTACTAAAAGATAAAGGACAGGAGATTAGGTAATAAATAAGGGGGAGGCGTAATGCACAAAAGAGAAGTGTGCAAGGTGAGATGAGAAAATGCGTGATCTCTTAAAAAAAAAAAAAAAACATGCGTAATGCATTATCAATTCTTGTGGTTGTTTAAAACAGTAAAACAATCATGAATCGCGACCATTTGTTATGAAATCCCGAGGGGTCGCCGAATTTTCCAGAATTTTCAGTCGACCTTGTCAATTAAAGTTGGATCAAAAAAATTGTGTAATCAATTAAAGATTTTGAATTCCTTGTGGTCAATTCTTATTCATTCACTGCATCTTTTTCCTTGTTTATTCATCCACGACAGTTTCCTTCTTTCGCTTATTCATTTGCAGCAGCTCTTTAGTTTCTGCTGCTGGTGTCCAACCTTGTGATCGAATGATACGCGTGTGCTCGATTATCCTCTTCACGTACACCTTGCATGAATTTTTTTGAAAACATTCACTCATTTCTCGTGCATAATTCACAAGAACGGCGATGCAGAGAGTGCCCCTATGAGATGACCTTGTGGTCGAGTATCAGCAGGTGCTCACCTTGCAGCGAACCACCTTCATAATACTATGCTCTTGCGATTGTACACGCGGAATTGGAGTCATCAATTCTTGAACTTTCAGATGCCATATTTTCGCGAATATAACCGCATGACTTAATTTAGATAGATCTGCATAGATAGTCCATGTATATATTTCAACCACCGGCGTTACGTAATCAACCTTGACGATATCTTATAATTGGCGCATGAGGTGATGATGATATACGGTGTACATACTGTTATATGCACATGCACCCTTACATTTCATCCCCTAAGGAAAAATCAACTATCAACCCATTGTTCTTTAATTGCATACATTAAAAATACCACGACAATCAAAATATACTACTTGGGAATATACAGTACATGGATTTTTTATTATAACAGTTATTCATTATAAGACCGATTTGTATAATAAGTGAAAGAAGATATACAGTATTTATTTGGCCTTTCAAATGTTAGATGACGCATGAATTAAATGAGCATTATGCGATCTTGTTATTTAAAGTTGACTAAACCATTTAGATTGGAATTGATCGTTTTGAGATGTAAAATTCCAACGATACACCATTGGTCTCAGATGACTCAGTTCCAACTCAGCGAGGATTTTTGACTCAGTGTGAAACAATATATTCATCTATCCATACTCAACCAATAAATCAGTTGTTGATTTCACGCACCGATTGATTTAATGAATGCCCGATAGAGGAAAGAAGAACTTTTCTCGAGTTTTGGATGTGCGAAATAAGTGTCTGACTTTCTCAAGCATTGTTTACGTTACGCTGGAAAATCTTAAAATAGACAAATGTTCTTAGATAATTTGATCGAAGTTTTAAAATAGTATCGTTTAAGGTATCTTGAAACATAATGAACCGGTGCGTAAGACGTGAAATTGGTGATTTGACTTCATCCGATAACTAAAAAAAAACTTTTTTCCTTCCTGTGCAATCCTTTGCTCCTCAGATATTTTCCGACACAAGGAGGGCCAAGGTTGAGATGTGAATATCCGTTTCATCTTGTTCCGGTTCATCGCTAACGATTCCCACACACAGGCTTGCGTTTCCTCATGGAAAAGCGAACAGCCGCAGTAGTCGAATACCTTTCATTAACGTTGTTGCATTAATATTTTCTATTTTTGTCAATTTTTATTAGCGTGCATAAATTCTGGTCTATCACTGTTACAGAATTTGGTGAACATATTTTTGGACTTATTTGCATTTTTCATTTTGTGCGAATGAAATTGAACACACTTATTGTAATTTCTGATATCGTATAGATACACAATACTGTAAATATATCCAACCGGGAAATTATTCTGGGATTTTTTTGACATCCCATTTAACTTTAGCCTGGGTATTACACACACCCATAGTATGAAAGAAAGTAGTGAGGTAGCATTCAATGGCGAAATGTCATTCTACTGTGCGCCATTCTCTTTCACCAAACGACTGTATCATTTTTGAAGTTTTCTGTCGATCCCCTTTTTTCCCTTTTTTGTATTAATATTGATATTCCGTCAGATTACCCTTTCTTTATTCATTTATCACGAATGTTGCAAACATAATCTATATTAAGATTATAATAAGATCAAAACACAGGTACTTCTCTAATGATATATACAGTACATACAGTATATTACTTGCTTCGTGATTTGCAGGTTATTTGTGTGGCGCCGGATATTGTTTATTTGCGTGATTGGATAATAAATGATTCAGTACGTGTAATAGTGAGCAGGTGTTTTCTTGTCTTTCTGTCAACTGTTTTGTCACCCGACTAAATAGAATCTATCGGAGCGGCGAAAATATTACGTTATTCCTTTAATCGCGTGTAAACAAACCGCCAACAGTGAACTTCTCGGCGGTGAGCACCTCAATCTATTCCATAAAAGTGCACGCCGATAACTTGGAATAGGATTAAGATACGCGAGTTATGATATCCAAGAATCATTGAGGTTCTCACGTGCCAGATGTCATGTCAGATACGTTGTATAACAATACAACAATTATCCATCTCGCAACCGTAAACAAAAAAAAAAAAACAAAATAATAATACAGCAATAATAATCATTATTTTGTCTCTTTCCAACAATTTAACCTTAAAGAGGAACTTTTGACCAAACTGGCATAGAGGAATTCAAAAGATATCATGAATGTTGGTCACAATTTGTTTTCCAAAGATTTTTTTGATTTTCATCCTCAACATATGCAAACATAAACTCCGACATTTAAATGTTCCTATTATTTTAACTTGCTGAATGCAAGAAAGTTAATAGGTACTA